TTTTTTTCCGAAATTCCCATAAGCTGACAAAAAGTAAGTCCCCATCGGTGGCCGCTTATGGAGCTTTCACTGTACATACATACATACATACATAGTGCATAAGTATAAATATAGTTAGCGAAATTTATGAGACAGCGGAGCATTGTTGTAGTTGCTCACACGTAGAGCTAATCATAAAAAACTCTTATCGCTTCAAGTATTTGAAACTAATTTGCCAAATGGGGCTGCTTAATTTAAAGACCATAAAAAGTATATGTACATACAAAACTAAATAGTAATTAAAAGAAAAAAAAAAACAATTGTTTGAGATACTAGTATATGAAGTAGCCGAAATGCCAAAAATAGATTTAATGATTTATTTACGTGGCACCGATGAGTTAGCAATACACATTTAGTAATCTAATCAAGTACCAATTACTTTTTCTAGGAATCCGTACGTTTGTTGGCCAGCATCGCAGACACCAGCAAAGATGGGTTGATTTCATTTGTCGAGTTCCAGGCTTTTGAAGGACTGCTGTGTACACCCGATGCTCTCTACAAAACTGCCTTTCAACTGTTCGATCGCCAGGGCAATGGCACAGTTTCTTACGGTGAGTTGGAGAAAGGGGAAAATAATCAGCTAAACACAAGAGTTGGTAACTTTATATACATACATATATTTAGTTTAGGTATGTTTCAGCCTTTAGTTTCAATTAAGTAAAATATTTGTCTTTCCCCTTCCAGCCGATTTCGTCGATATCGTACAAAAAACCGAACTGCATTCTAAGATACCTTTTAATTTAGATAGTTCCTTTATAAAGCGGTATTTCGGCGAGGTGAGCACTATTTACATCCACTTACAATCCATATACTTATTCGCAATTTAAAAATGTCTACATTCCATTTGCAGAAAAAGAACCGCCCCATCAATTATGCGGAATTCACACAGCTGCTCCATGATTTCCATGAGGAATATGCAATGGAAGCATTCCGTAGTAAGGATCCAGCTGGTTCTGGATACATCTCACCCTTAGATTTTCAGGATATTATTGTTAAAGTGAAGAGGCATTTACTCACACCCGTTGTCAAGGATAACTTAGTAGCGGTGAGTAAAAGTTTCTTCCTTCGTAAATAATGTGGTATTTCCACTGTCGAAATTCGTTTGGATCAATAGGTCACTGAAGGTCACAAAGTGAGCTTCCCTTATTTCATCGCATTTACTTCGCTGCTCAACAATATGGAATTGATTAAACGCATCTATTTGCACGCTGCCCAAGGTAATCGCCACGAGCCAGTGACAAAGGACGAACTACTTTACGCCGCACAAACAATGAGCCAAATTACACCATTAGAAATTGATATTCTCTTTCAATTAACCGGCGCACTTCACCAAACTGGGTAAGCTCTGCTTACAACAAATGAATCATGGATTATGAATACACATATATATATGTAGGGAGATAGACGTAAATGCATATGTATGTAGATATCATTCACGAGTACATTAGGATGCGCCTTATTTAACAATTTGTTTTATTTATTTGGGTCGCATCTCTCAAACTTAT